CACAGAGAGGGAGAGACACACACACACACACACACACACACACACACACACACACAGAGACACACACAGAGAGAGAGGTTTAACATCCATGGTTTCTGATAAATGAAGTGAAACAAACTTTTATGTGAAATGTAAAAACAAATACAACCTTATTCGATTACAGATGTTCAGTTACATGCACATACTACTTCTGGTATCAGTATTAAATCAATTCTTTTAAAATCTGAGTGGTGCTGAAAAGAACAAACCAATGTTGTTTTCATGGCCTATATTTGCTAATTGTGATATTTTAGTGAGCTGTTTTAGGGTAATGTCACTTTATACTGTAAACATGTGAACAAGAAACATAAATAAATGTATCATGGTCTTTAAAACCTGGACTTAAGGGCAGATTGCGTCAACTAATGTGAACTACTGGATTGGCCGAGAAATGCTTACAGTTATTGACAAACGTTGCCACATGGTGTATCTTCATGAGCTCTGGGGAGGCGCACTCCTGGTACAGCAGCAGCAGAGCCTCCAGAAACTCTTCCCGACCTAAAGTGCATCCTCCCTGGAGCCCGCACAGCACGACTCGGCCCTGGACACAATACAAAACACAGGAAAGGGAAGTCAGCTCAGGCAGTCACTTGAGCTGTATTAGAGGAGCTGGATGTGTACAGGTCAGTGGTAATATAAAATAACTTCACCTGAAACACCTGATTGAGACGCGAGCTGCGGATGGTGATGGGGTCCGCAGAGGAGGGCAGCGTTTTCAGGTTTCCCTGACTCACGTATTTAAACTTCAACATGGCTTCTGGGCAGCAGATAACCTGAACGAATGACACACATTGGGTCCAAGTGAGACGAAGCACGCACTTTAATGTGACACGTTAGCTGACTGATGATATCTCCGGTGGTGGCAGGAGGTTTTAGAAAGAGCAACGAAAAACTGTGTCAACAATGAGTCCCGTTAGCATGCTAACGTAACGTTGGCTAACTCCGCTAACAAACGAGCGTCAACGCCACGATAACTTTGGTTTTATCTACAGACACACAACGGTACGGTGTGCGTTTACTCACCACACTGCCATGCAGGTACCTATACTTCTGTGTTTAATACAAACAGAGACATTGACGGCTACAGAGCGCACTGTTTTCCTCTCGGTCGACGTTGTTTCCGGTTAACTTTCAAATTTTGCGCGTTTGCCGCCCACCTCTCGAGCCGGCTGAATGAAGGCGGGGTTTGATTGGTTCACTGGGATTCTGTGGGCGGGCCTAACTGTCGTTTTAAACCAATGGCTGATGTTTCAGCCCCGTCAGCCCTGGAAGACTCGTGGAAGCGTTTGTTTGGACTTGAATGTATGGACGTAATATTAACTGTGACTATCAAAGTTAAAGTTTGTTTGAAATGTGGTTTTTGTTGGTACACATAAGACACTAATTTTAAAGGG